ACACGTTTGATACATGTTATATTGTTTGTGTTGATCAAGGGACACGTTTGATACATATTATATTGTTTGTGTTGATCAAGGGACACGTTTGATACATGTTATATTGTTTGTGTTGATCAAGGGACACGTTTGATACATGTTATATTGTTTGTGTTTAAAGTAAAACTTAGATGCATACATTTCTCCAAGCTGACTCATTCAATTGTAAATTTTAGACATCTTCTTTTGTTAATGATTGATGTATTTTATTTATTTATTCATTCATTCATTTATCTATCTATATAAGATGACACATGTGCTTCCTGCATTTTCATTGCTTGGATCATCGTCACGTGGAGATCGGCGATTCACGGTATTAACTCGGCGCTTCTAATTTTAGAAATAACAGGTTATACTCTATGACGTAATTTCAATCGTAACGTCACAATGCTCTCTGCCAAATTCAGCACTCTTCTCCGTACGATTCCCATACATTCCATCTTGTTTTATGATTGAAACAACATTTAGAATCCCAAATAACGAATTAAATGTCTGTCAATATGTGAGTTTATGCACCATAGAAAGTGATATTGACCACGACTTTATCTTGGGTAATATCAATTTCTCAAGTCTATATATGACCAATTGTGGCAGTCGCCAGGTACATATACTAGCCGTAGGTCGGAGGTTTTCCTCCGGGAACTCCGGCTTTCCTCCACTAACAAAATCTGGCACTTCCTTAAATGACCATAGCTTTTAATAAAATGAGGTTATACACAAACAAACCAAACCGAATCCATAATCGATTATAGTGTCGTATCTAATAACGAAAGGATTTTATTTCAATGAAGATGTAGTTAAAGTGACCTTCGTCTTAGTTAATATATTCCTCTCAGGTCTATAAACCACATATTCACCTCGACAAAAGTCCATAATTGATTACAATTTCGTTTGAACACGTCAGTACTCGGTACATATCAACTGTTCATTTGTTTTACATAAACATGTAAACAACATACTACGAGCACTTGTAATATACAAGTACTATATACCTATCTTTGTTAAATTGACATAAGTTTCTGATAAGGCTGTGCCACTCGGGCAAAGTTACGGGGAATTGTGACGATTGAAACCCCATTTTTTTCAATATTTGAATAATATATTCATTAACCATTGACTTATTTTTTTTCCTTTATTATAATGAATACTTGCCACTTCCTTATGCATAAAGGCCGTTCAATATAAAGCGTGGAATATAAAAAAATCTTTATACAAATATATTTAAAGTCCAGTTTTCAATGTAGTAGCTTTGATTTAGTTTTAACTACTATTCGAAATCACGACAGCGCGAAAAATATGAGGCTATGCATGTTTTAACTCATAAACAAGGTATTCGTTTGATTATAAAGAACTTTACACTTACATACCGTTCATTATTGTAGCGATAATAATTAGGGACATTTAAATCTTCTGTGTAAAATGGAATACATAAATTAATCTGCGCTTGACATATCTTTACGATAATGAAATGTGCATTTCACAAACAACCTTTACTTCCTGTATACTGAATCGTTTCTGGTTTTAAGTATTGTATTTCGGGTGTTTACGTAAGGGCGGGGTGGTGGCGGGGTTTTATTTTCAAGGAATTTTGGGTGAATGTTCAGCTTTTTTGCCTTATTCCTCCCAATATGAAATCCTCTTATTTCTACTTCCCGTGTAGGGGTCAATATGTATATCCAGTTATAGTGCTCTATATAACTCACTTAATTTTGACTTTTGAAAATTAGTTAAAAAGACTAAGGTTTTATAAACTTTGAACCCACGCACTACATGGAACACGAGGAGCGTTTTCTCTTTGAAATTTTATCGGAGCTTCTTTACGATTTACAATTATAAAAAAAAAGATTGCTAGTGTTACGTTATCGGCATGCAGATAACAAATGGGAGCTTCATCTCTGAGTTGACACTCACTTTTTAGTATTTCCTTTACAAGTAAGGTATGACAAAATCAACTTAATGTTTTTCGTTTATGATATTGCTATATTTAGAATATTTATATTTCGTTTATCGAAGGTACGCTACGGAAAGTTTATTGAAGGTACGCTTCGAGAAAAACGGACCAATGTCCCTGACTATACGGAATGCGGATCCGCAGCCAGAGGCCTACATGAGACAGGGCAACTTCCTGTGTCTGGCAGCTCGTGATGTAGAGGACAAAAAGCCGATGAGGCTCTTATCTACTCTCCTGCCAGCGCAGGACCTTGCATGTGGGCGTCCTAGAATGGTCACTGCGTATAACCGTAATATGGGTGTCATTGACATGAATTATGGGTTATTGAGTGCGGATTGTTGCGTGTGTTCATCTAATGTGCGGCATGACAGAGGTATGCGCCAAAGGAGCAGACCAATTTGCTCCATATGTAAAAGAGGTCTCCATAGGCACTGCCTCGAAAGGGCACTACGCATGCGTAGAACTTTAGAAACACAATCTGGAAATAAACGTAAGCTAAGCAATTCATGAAATATTGTTTTACTAATGGCACGTTAAAAGTCTATTTAGCTTATCAAGTTTTTTTATATTTAGTTTTTGTCACTATTTATGCTAGAATGTTAGTACACTAGTTTGTATAACTTTCTAACCATGACAATAGATCAATATGGTTGGGTAACTTGTCAAAATACATTATGTACCAAGAGTATCTATTCAATAAATCGTTGTTCATGATGTCAGTATTGCGAATGCGTCACATTATGTTCGCTAGAAGATTACGTCGTTTACGTAAAATCCAAATGCTTGACACTCTGAAGGTTAAAAATACGATGTTCCATATACATATTATACTCATGAATCAAAACTGCACAGAAAGACTCAAATAATTCGAACGCCGTAAAATTGCTGACGTTATAAAGGTAATGTTTGTTTGCGCAACAATCATGCGATTTTCGCGACGTCGGAATTAACATAGTGTCAACAATACTTTGACGTCATAATTGGCTGGACGTCACAGTTGGCAAAACAGTTGTGGATACTTCAAATTGGCTGAGTCAAATATTTGGCAGTCTAAAGGTTAATAAGGTCCTTTTAAAGTTAATTACGGTCTATATCATAAGTATGTACAGCATACATATGAAGCTTTCTCAGCCCATGTATATGAATAAAGAACGTCAACTTCGAAATTACATACACATGTCACTCACGTGTGTACACACAGTTCAAGTGCCAGTGTGGATACGCACAAATATCTAGTGACGGTTTATATTTACGTCATACATGCACCCACATATCTAGTGACGGTTTATATTTACGTCATACATATACACAAATATATAGTGACGGTTTACATTAACGCCATACATACACACAAATATCTAGTGACGGTTTATATTTACATCATACATACATACAAATATGTAGTGACGGTTTATATTTACGTCAAACATACACACAAATATATAGTGACGGTTTATATTTATGTCATACATACACACACATATATAGTGACGGTTTATATTTACGTCATACATACACACAAATATATAGTGACGGTTTATATTTAAGTCATACATACACACATATATCTCGTGTGAGTTTATATTGACTTTATACCTACACACACATATCTAGTGAGAGTTTATATTTACGTCATACATACACAAATATTTCTAGTGAGCGTTTAGATTGACTTCGTACATACACACAAATATCTAGGGAGAGTTTAGATAGACTTCATACAAACACACATATATCTAGTGAGAGTTTATATTTACGTCATACATACACACACATATCTCGTGTGAGTTTATATTGACATTATACATACACACATATATCTAGTGAGAGCTTATATTTACGTCATACATACACACATACATCTAGTGAGCGTTTAGATTGACTTCGTACATACACACAAATATCTAGGGAGAGTTTAGATAGACTTCATACAAACACACATATATCTAGTGAGAGTTTATATTGACTTTATGCATACACACATATATCTAGTGAGAGTTTAGATTTACGTCATACATACACACATAGATCTCGTGAGAGTTTAGATTTACGTCATACATATACATATATATTTTGTGAGAGTTAAGATTTACGTCATACTTACACACATATATCTAGTGAGAGTTTAGATTGACTTCGTACATACACGCAAATAATCTCGTGAGAGTTTATATTTACATCATACATACACAAGATTGATTTCATACATACACACATATATCTCGTGAGAGTTTAGATTTACGTCATACATACACACAAATATCTCCTGAGAGTTAAGATTTACGTCATACCTACACGCATATATCTCGTGAGGGTTTAGATTTACGTCATACATACACACATATATCTAGTGAGAGTTTATATTGACTTTATGCATACACACATATATCTCCTGAGAGTTAAGATTTACGTCATACCTACACGCATATATCTCGTGAGAGTTTATATTTACGCCATACATACACACAGCTTAAGCTAATGCAGGCATTGGATATTTTTTTTTAAATTTTGGCCTTTGTAAATGCTCCCCCCCCCCCCCCCCCCCCCCATGTACATAGTGACAAGAACTTCTCACATATATATATATATGTATATATATACATTTACTTACAACTAGCATTACGTAAACGAGAGGGACACATGATAGATCGTTGAAACACATACACATATATTTAATCAAAAACAACAGTTACATACATTAACTTACAACGTTAAGATGCTATTATATTTAAGGTACGAAGCACTTTGTTCTGATATTGATATTGACTCTACAACACATCTATATATAATGACTTACTACACACATACAATCTACAACTCTACAATTAAAATGTCGTTATCGGTCCATATACAATGACACAGCGCTCCATCTTGTTGTGAATCATATGTATTGAACCGTTCGTATACACATTTACACACATACGACAAATACCTGCCAAACAAAGCGTAAACCTGTTGTACACATTGTGTCTCTGGTATCACTGCATAGAGCTAACAAAACGAGTCTTACCTCCCCATACCAGTCAGCAGTCCGCTATCGTCTTCGGTCCTAAATCACAATGGTGTGTGTATGTATGTGTGTGTGTAGTTCCCTCAGCTCCAATATTGTCAACACTAGGACAACTCCGGAAGGAATGATCCGTTTTCGGAGTACACCGGACTTCCCCACTTTGTATACATCACACTATCAGCCAACCAGGAAGTATTCGTTGTAACATGACTGTTTGCATTGTCAGCTTGACATACAGAATTCAAATATAAAATAATCTTTTCATAATTTATTAAAAAAAAATCCTATAACAAACGCAAATTATTTGTATTTCTATAGAATGAAAGTATGAGTATTAAAAATAATCATTGAAGAGGTCGTTAGAATAATAAATTTACTGTTTTAGTTCAGGATTCAAAAGATGATTATGCGTTCAAACATTATGTAAGAGTTATTCCCCTTTACTCAAAAGTCGTACAGAAAAGGAAAATGTTAACAAGATATATTTAATGCTAGTGTCTTTTATTTCGTTAGATTCATATACGAAATAAAATCATAACCTGGACTACCGTTGTCCGGATTGTCATCTAGAATGTCATATGCATGTTCTAATCCGGAATAATTTATCCATTTCCAGATAATCTAATTATTATCCGGAATGTCATATGCACATGTACCTGATCCGGAATAATTACTCCTTTTCTATAGTATCTAATTGTTATCCGGAATGTCATATGCATTTACATAATCCGGAATATTTCATCCTTTTCAAAAGTATCTAATTAGTATCCGGAATGAAATTTACATGTACCTGATCCGGAATATTTTATCCTTTTTTAGAGTTTCTCAGTATTACCTGGAATGCTTTATGCATGCATATGTACCTAATTCGGAATATTTTACACTTTTCCAGAGAATCTTATTATTATCCGGAATGTCATATGTATATACCTCATCAGGAATATTTTTATCTGGATCGTCATATACATGTACCTGATCCAGAATATCTTATCCTTTTCCAGAGTTTATTATTATTATCCGAAATGTCATGTACATGTACCTTATCTTATCCTTTTCCAGAGTATTTTATTATTATCCGGAATGCCATATCTATATACCTAAACCGGAATATTTCATCATTTTCCAGAGTATCTAATTAATATCAGTACTGCTTTACACCGCGTATTTATATTCTTCTGGAATATCTTAATAATCGCGATTGCCATATAGATTAACTGGAATATTTTATCCTTCTCCGAAATATCGAATTATTAACCAGTTTTTCATAAACCTGATCTGAATTTTCTTTTGTCTGATCCGGAATATTTTATTATTATCCAGAATTCTATAAACATGATCCGAAATAGTTTTTTCCTTATCCGGAATATTTTATCATTTCCGGAATACTATATACCTGATCCGGAATAGTTTTTTCCTTATCCGGAATATATTTTATCATTTCCGAAATTCTATATTCCTGATCTGGAATATTATTTGATTATAAGTTTTACTTCATCATTTTAACGAATAAATTATTAACATCAGGAAAATCAAATCATTGTCTTGAGAGTGAAAACATAATTATACAAAACATAATTATACAATCTCTATTAATATCTGAATTATGATATGATATTCGGAGTACCATATTTTTATCCTAAATATTTGTATTATTATCCGAAGTTTCATGTCTTCATCCGATCAAAAACTTTTGATTACCTACAATGCTAATTACTATAAGGAAAACCATGTTACTTTCCGAAATATTTGTTTGGAATACTAAATCAGGATAAGGAATACCATTTACTTCCGGATTAACATAAGTCAAAAGCTACACAAACCTAAGAGTACGTAATCACCTTACTTAAATAGAACCGAGAAAAGATAATGCGTTAAGAGCCGAGATAAAACAACGACATTCCAAGGTTAAATTTGTAACAGGAACATAACTAGTACCGTGTTGAAACGATAATGGTACTCTCTTCGATAACACGTTATCTGTGTACACAAATGCTTACAACCTTCAAGATAAGTAAGTTGAGCTTAAAATGAAATAACAAGTATATATCAAGCAACGCATATACAGTATTTCCTCGATATGATGTCCCTCGTTCTATATGCCACCTCATTATTTGTTCCAAGAACGTGTTTTTTTCCGTAAAGCAAATATGATGACGACAACCAAACATTGACTAACGAAATGTTCCCGTAGATAATATTTTCGCAATCACGTTCTTGACCAGCGGATTAGCGAAAATATCATTTCCGCGGACGTATCAAGCTACTAATTGACGATCGAACACAGATTAACGAAGTTGTTCTTGAAGTACTTGAACTAAGACAGAGTGTACTACTATCATCTGCAAGCAGGACCGGAAGTACACTTTACGTCATCACTTCCGGTCTCGTAAGTCGATGCATTCAAGCTTCCTTTGTCTTACATCCTGTGCTATTGTCCGGTACCAGCCCTGCTGTACCCAAGTCCACTGGTACTAGATTGAGGGGCCAGTAAGACTCAATTTGCGACAGTATAATCACGATATACCGCCGCAAGTTTCAAAAAACAATAGGGTCATCCCAATTATAATTCATATTATCCAAAACCACTTAAAGAAACAACGATTTAAAAAAACATTGTAATGTTTTCCTCCAATTCTGGGTCACTCTGCCGTTGATTGGTGACGTCAGGACTATTCAATATGAAGCGGAGTAACATTAACCTTCCGGGATCACTCTTTTGTTCTCGACGTCATGATATTGACGTCATGAATGATCAATATCATGACGTATCAGGATCAGTCGGGGTCAGTGACGTTAACAACGATCGCCATCCGGGCTTTAATGCGAACGAGAAATTTGCGGAGGGTATATCATGGTAATATTGTCATAAATTATTTTGATTGACTTAATTACATACATGTATATGTAGTCATATACCATTTAATAAATTATGTCACTTGTGTCAGGACACATGTATTATGTATATATTTGATATTTCTATTACATTCCTTCAAAGTATCCCTTTTTCATATAAAAAGGCAAAGCTTTATAAGAGCGTAGCTTTTGTTGATCTCTGATATTTACCGATTCAGAATACTGCTTTCAGAATGAGATAAGATAAACTTTTTTAAAGTCGGCAGGTCGAGGAATAACAATAAAAGCACAAACTCTAATGAGATTAAGACCGACAAAACAGTAGGGGAAAGTTCGACCTTTTGTTTTTAATACCGTTCTGGGAAGTATTACAGCACGTCCGCTTTTGAACATTATTTAACTTTTCCTGTCGAAAGATTGGATGGCCGAACGAGCCCCGCCATGGGGTAAGTTCGGACAGGCATTCGGGTATGTTCGGCCCCATTAATTAGATCAGCTTAATTATGGCGTCATAAATAAGGAACGTCAAATTTTACCGCTAATTTTACGACTTTTTATGTGTTACATGGGCCGAACTTCCCACGGTATCATTGGCCGAACATGTAGAATGCCCAGCCTACTAAACTGCTAAGATCCTTAATGCTGTAAATATTAGCTCAAAAACTAAAATATCAGGGTTGGCCAAATTGCCCCGGTCTCCCGTATGTAGATTTTTTGTATCATTGATGATTGATGAAAATGTATTCACAATATAATGTTTGCATCAATGACGCAATTTTCTTCCATTCAAAGCTAAAGTAGATGGTGGGTCGGGTAGCGTAATGGATAGTGCGCTCGTCTTCACCAAGATAGCCGGATTCAATTCCGGTCACCTGCCCGACCACGCGGGTTTTCTCTGGATACTCCAGCTTCCTCCAATGTTAAGAATTAAATCTTCTGCGTGCATCCGTCAGGGCACCAACAGAATGATTGAGATAAGCTGGAGAAAAACTGTTTGGTAATTGCTATAGAAAAAAGTGCATATTACATATTTGACGATTAGTCCAAGAAAATGTGTAGAGATGTAAGTTGCAAAAATAAAATTGAAAAAAAACCAAAAACATTGTAATACTTTGATGTACATATAACTGAGATTGTCGTTATATCGATATGTAGTTTCAATTACTGTTCCACCCTAAAACACCGGTTTGAATTTTTGTATTTTGTAACTGTCACCAAGGTTTGACAGGTAATGATGCCAGTTTCTGTCTCTAATGATAACATTTTCTGTCTGTAACTAGTTGGAAATCGGCACGCGTTGTGAAAAAGTAATACGTTGCTGAAAAAGGGCGTTGCACTTGGGTTGGTTGTCTGGAAAATTATTGTTGATTTCGACATAAATGCATTTTCCACTGTTTCTTTTATGAATGGTGATGAATGAATAAATAATGTAAAGACCATAACTAAACCTTCAAAAATCTTAATTATTTCGTTCATATTCTCAATAAATGGAAATCAATAGCTGATGAAATTTTAGATGATGAAAAATAACTCTACACGTTGACCTATTGGTTTAATTCCTGCTCTTTTTGCAGACATTTCGCAGTAAAAATATTAACAGAACCTGGATGATAACAAAAAGGATCTTCAGAAAATATCCATATTTTTACTTTTTGTGCATGTGGTAAAAACTGAAATAAAAAAAAGTCTTGAAGCACCGACAAAGAGATAATTGTAACGAACATCAGTTCCAGGATTTTCCGCTTATTTTTTCATCCTTCCGGAAATAACCGATGAAGGCCGATGTGTTGTGACGTACTTTTGACGTTATAGTATGATATTCTCTAAACGAAGTTACTTAAGCATTGAACTGTTTTTGTATGATATTTATTATCTATTTGAATGACACAGCTTTGCAAGCAAACAACATAATGCGCGCTATTTACGTTTTCTCTGCCTCTTATGTTCTTTTTTAACTTATAATTTATAATTAAAATTAAAAATGCCCACCTTATCGACAGTCCACACAATTTCGTTCAATAGTTTGAACAGCGTATTGTCGCGTGCTGATTGGCAAACAAAGTAGTGCTTTGACATTTTAACAAACACTTCAAATTTATTCCACAATTTAGTATCAATACAATTGCGTATGATATGTCTATAGGGTGATTCCAGTTTATCAATAGAAATCTGAGCTGAAAGTTAGATTTGAAATTGTTTCGATTTTCCCCCGGAACAAATTTCGCGCATGGATAAATACAGTGAACACCGTGAATGGGACCTTGACCTCCACGAGGGAGTTATTTTTGGAAGTTAATTCGAACTTTTCTCTTTGCTC